GACTTTGTAGTACAACTTTAGTACGCGGAGTATCTGGGGAGCTGGAAGATGAGAACTGGCGACTTTGTAGTACAACTTTAGTACGCGGAGGAATCTGGGGAGCTGGAAGCTGAGAACTGGCGACTTTGTAGTACAACTTTAGTGCGCGGCTGAGTCATCTCTCGCGGCTGCTCTGGCGCCCCTGCGGCTGAGCCATGTCTCCCGACCACCCGGCTCTCTTGAGAGGTCGACAAATTTTAGCTACTTTGCTTACTCAAAAGTGGTCACTTCGATTATTTTCTGGAGACCTCAAAACATGTGTTTTGAGAGGTTGACAAATTTGAGCTAATTTGCTTCGTGTCTAGGCCAACTATCACATCATAGTTAACGTCTAACTCCAGTTAGCTTTAGTGGAGCTAGAGCTATACTTCACTCATCACTCATCACTCATGCGTCTGACTGAGGGACACGAGGGACACGCATGGTGGAAAGAACCGGGACACTCCTATAGGTCAATTTGTTCTTATAGGAAACTTCCGCCGCCGGCTTGCCCGGGAACTACTTGTATGTGGCCGAACTACTTTGGGGATGTGACCTAGAAACCCAAGCAATCCAATTATATAGCACCTTAGCTACCTGAATGGGAGCCCAAATAGCCCAAATTGATAGACTCCAAGTCTTCAAGGCGCAACGACTTTCAAGTCGCCCCATCTTTGGGATGCACCTGTCGGACAATGATACTGCCGACATCTGCCGACCAGGCACCGTGTGCTGAGAGCCGTCTGACAATCCTTGGAGAATGCAAATCGAGACTCCAGGACCTTGAAGTGCCCCTTACAGTCTCTGATCACACTCTGCGCATTGAGTTCAAACTATCAATCGCTCCTAGCTGGGACCAAGTTTGAGCTTAGGTGCCACCCCAACAAGTTATTCAAGAGAACGCAGTCGCCTTAATCCAAGAGTCCGACTGAGCATGGAATGGCCCATCGTTGACTCATATCTTCCAACAGCTGCAGCGCTGCCACGCCCGTCTACGCCATTTCGGAGAGCTGGAGCCTTTCGGAGAGCCGGAGCACCAGCTCGAAGGCCGTGGACACACTATGAAACAATGCACGGTGAGAGGCGACACGGGCACTTCAGGAATTTTACAGTAAGTTGAATCGCTGTCTTTTTGTTGACTCAAACGCACAGCGCAAGTCCCGGCGACTAGTTGAACAATAGTGACAGTGTTCCTGCCAAGCCAGCCATGGGCAATATTTTGGGGTGTGAGGTGGGTCCGCCGACCTGCCTTCACCCACTTCTCCTTCCCGTCCTCATATCAATGCCTCCAGAAGGCAACCAAAGCCGGTAGAGTTTCATCTTGGAATCCACAAAGCGACGGACGCTTCAAAGTGATAACAAACACATAGGAAGGTCCCACAGACCGACCGACCGACCGACCAATTCATTCTCAATATGATTTTAAACTAAAGCATCCTCAGTGTTGTTACATCTTAGCCAAGTGGGTCAGTCACTGCCAAGTTCGAGTTTGCCTCACCCACACCACTATATACCCACACCCTCCAGATTCGGACTCCAGATCAGTGTTGCAGGGATTATTGAACAGGTCTGTTTGCATTTGGACCCTGGAACTGCCTAAACATAGCATCAACACTTGGTGAGGAACAACCCTTTCAAGTTTGGCTACAATTTCAGCCGACGACGTCATTTGATCTCGCAAAAGTTTTGCCAGGTTGATCATACAGTGGGCTGAGAGTAATTAGAGTAGATAGCTTGTCTCCCATCATCCAATGATCGAATGCCCTTATATATAAGTGTTCACCTAGTTTCTGCAGGACCTGTTTATCTGTGGCCCGCCTCGGAGTTTTTGCCTAAGACCGCCGCGCGTTTGTAGTCGGCACTTTCAACACATCACCAAGTTTCCTTCCCATGTTGCATCCGTCATCAAAGTCAGCACTTTAATTTCAATGTAACATGCATCACTTTGTGTCGTTTGACCATGGCCTCATTCCTTTTCACCGCACCTCTCTCAAAAAATCATGGTTTTTCCATCTGGACATGCATACACACACACACACATATATATATATATATATGTGAGTGTGTGTGTGTATTGTTCTCATGTACAAGGCACCACACACACACACAGTTGCCCAATCGAATGTCATTGAGTCATTGGAGTTTGGGAGGGTGGGAGCGGTCAGGTTTGGGCAAGAAACCTTCACATTGCTATATATTGTATAACCGACTGATTCGCAAGTGGGTCTCAACATCCAACACCTTGATTCGCATCTCATCAAGCGCCCGACACAATGCGTTCAAATTAAGTCGAGAGGTAAGATTGTATGGACACGTTGACTTCCAGGGGAGGTGTAAGGCCTCAATTGTTCAAGTGTTTGTGATGATATTGGAGGTGAGAACACAGTGGTATAAAGGTTTGTTGTGACATGAACTCTGTTGGACCAGGCAAGATGAAACTAAGTGCTTAGTTATAGTTCTTGCATTTGTTGAAGGTGGCCACATGTCAGCCACTAGTATTTTCAAGTTGCGCTGTGGTGAAAATTGCAAACTGCCTCTTGACACTTGAGAGCCCCAAACAAAAATTGTGCATATAGTTTCCAGTGATGGATCTTAAACAACATGATCAAAATGCATGTGTCCAAATGAAACCAAGGAATTCAAAGGGGAGACATGGAGAGACTGCGTTCAAACGCTCCAAAACGCAGGTAAGCACTTTCTTGTTGAAGATGAAAGAACGTTCACACTCAACACAACATTGCAGCGTGAATGTTAGGTACGTAGTTTTCGTGCTGACTGCATAACTTCAACCCCCAATGCCGCATGGCCCCCTTTAGATCTACACACGCATCCAAATGTCCTTTTCTTCTCGTGTCCGCTTCTGGCTGCGGAAGCCAAGTGTCTGCTGGGTCAGCACTCCACGTGAAGAATCGCACTCCCCAGGTCGATCCCAAACTAGGAGTATCGGATTCCATGACGTGCTATTGAAATAGCCCAAGAGGTCTGCAATTCGAGCAGTGCTGACACTTGAGGGAGTGCTCCCAACAAGAATCAAAACATCAAAGAATTCTGGTTCGACTCCTCGCAGCGTGGAGTATCGGTGCATCGGTGCATGGAGGTGGCATTGGTTCTGAGATACTGTGGACTGTGGCTTATTGAATCTTATTTAGATTCTAGACTCAGTGAAAACCACCTCTAGTCCTGGAAAAAGGCCAACTCAGGCAGGATCAGGCAGGTGTCAGCTCTACATGTGGCATCGGGCCCTTCTCATCTCCCTCGATGAGCTGCTTGTGAGGTGCCACCTAAGTGGATAGGAGGATCACAAGGCATGTTTTGGTTCTGCCTGGCAGAGTAATTAATAGGGTAGGAAGTTCAGTGTTGCTCCAGGGCACTTGTACCACTCCGTCGCTCCACTTGATGACAACGGCATAGTTTCCTCAACTGACATCCAGGGGGTCGAAGACCGGAGAGTCGGGACAGCCATGTGGGCAACAATGAGACCCAGATCTGCTGAGCAAGAAGGAAGCTTAGGAGCTTACCGAAGCTTTCCAAAAACAAGCATCAAACCATAAACTTACAGTAGCTCATATCTTTCATCCCACGCTGTCAGCCATTTCTTCCACCAAAACCCAAGATTCCCATGTCAACGATCTCGGCTGGAAAGAGGTCGGCTGGCGGAGGCGTCACTCCTCCAGCACCCTTGTCCCTGGCGGAAGCTGCAAATTCCATCGAGGCGGAGGAGTGAGAGAGACTCAATGCCCACACAAATCCAGGGCAATTCCGAAAGTCTGGCTAACACCCACGGCAACAAATCGGGCTAGACTGTTGGGCTTTCATGTCACCTCTCAACCCCGGCCACGGACCCCTTCAAAGCAAGCTCATATTCAAAGATATTCAAAGGTCAATTTTATGTCGCTGTTGGATGAACTTTGTGAGTTTGAGTATCTGGTGTCTGGTTCCAAAGGCAGCGATCCACCTCAGGCGGAGCTCTCGGGGATCGATGCCCAGCTCTTCGTCGCCCAGCTGCAAACGCAAGACCTGGAGCCGCTGAAGGGACGGTTGGACGAAGTGAGTGACGGGTCTAAGTGACGGGACACGAATCACATCAAATCACGTCAATATTGTGTGCTCTTCTCTGCCTGTCAATTGTCAATTGTTCAAAGCACTGTTCTTAGGGTGCCTTTTTGGTGCTCAGTTTTGGTATCTTGAGGACCGAGGTGCTCAAACAGGGACCGAACTCCGGACTCTTTTGAGGGTCATTCCTCCTCCTTCCTGACGCCTTTTGGAAAGGGGTCGTGATCGGATATGCTTGGATGTGCTCCGAGAATCTCTGAGACAAAATCGTGCGCCGGATGAGTTCTGAAGCCTTCAGCTTAGGACCTTCTTGTTCCAGTTTACATTGCTGGCATCCACTACAAACACTCTAGTACTGCACACAGGTGGAGCAACACATAGAATCACACAAATCATTCCTCACGATTCTATTTTGTTGTGCTTGCATGTGCTTGCTATTTGAGGTTTCTTTGTGTCTGCGAGCTGATCGCTTGTCCTGCATGTCCTTCAGTACAACTACGCATCCAAGGGCGTCCAGTCCAATCTGCCATGGGCCTTCATGTCCGCATCCCAGGTCAGCTGTGGTTGTGTGCGGTTCTCCTTGATCTTTTCCACCTCCTGTGGTCACAGGGCATGAGAACAGCTGCCGGAGAGAGACTCAAAACAGCAAGTGAACCTGCCGACCGACCTACACTACAGAATCCAAGTCTTATTTCTGATCAACTTTTCAGCTTGTCCAATACCGTCATGTCTCTCTCTTTAACAAATCCCAATGAACGACGGCCATACTGACGGCTATATATCTTTTTTGTTTAATGACATTAATTGTGCATATATACGTACAGTACATCTGCATATGCGGAACATGTGCGTCAAAATGCAACAGTAGTATGTGCTTAGCTCCCGTCCAACCACTGTCACGTACCTGGATCACCGCGTCCGCCAGCTTGCCGACCTCCTCCGCCGCCTCCGTGGCCTCGGCGACGAAGGGCTTCCCTTGGTCACCAGCGGAGGCCACCGAGGGCTCCAAGGGCAGCTCGAAGACCTGTTCGATGCCGAAGGTATCCTGACAGCGGTGTGTTTGGCATGCAGGCGGTTGAGGGTGAATTTTTCAGTGGTGGTTGTGGTGCGAAGAACGGGTAAAGTGAAGAGTGGGTGATATCATGTGATATCAATGGCTTGTGAATGGGAGTGTCGGGGGAGAACTCGATCCAGGTTTTCTCAAGTTTGGTGGGCCAATTGGATCACAACCCAGCGTGTGTGGGCGTCCGTCCTCACTCACTCGAATCATTATTGGATGTTCGGACTGTAGCTGAGAATGGTGGTGGTAACTGTCATGGGGGATTGGGCGTTTCACACGTGAAGACATCGCACAGCCTTCTTAGTCCAACGCTTCCAGTCCAAGCTGCGGCAATTTTGAATCCAGCATCTGTTCGGCCAAAAATGTATTGACGCTCACCATTTGGCATGGCCATGTAGCTCATGTTCTGAACGACTGCCACTGAAGGCACCTGAACAAATGCTACATGATATCACTCGAACACCTGCAGGAATCTACATTGTGTTTTTCCTGTACCGGTGGGTTTGGATGGCCTTTGTTTTGTCCACCATCGTCCAATGCTCACAACAAACGATCGAGCAACAGAAAATGTAGAAATGCTATCGCGTAAAATGTTGAGATTGACCCTCCTTCAGAAGCCTGTTGTGGAATGCAAACGCGGTGTTGTCTCTTGAACGACCTGGGGCAAGCAGGGACAACTAAGGAGACTGAGGGAAAAAGGTGTGAACTTCCCTCGGTGGTCTCACGTCGAAGCCAAGTAGACCAAACATTAAATAATATTAAAATTCAGCCATGAATATATTGGAATATATTGCACTGTTGTTTGTCATGGAGACCGCGTGATGAGCCCATTGCAAACGGCACAGCCTGTACCACCGCGAACACCTTCTGAGACGCCGACAACTCCTACGGGACCGAGCATATGGATCGGCATGTCATACATATCTGTGTGTGTGATGTCTTTTCTCTCGTTTAGTGCTCCATCACCATCTTCTGCAGCATCTCTTGTTTGTTTCTACCCCCATCACCACCTTTTGTTTCTCCATATCTTCCCACCCAATGTTTCACAACCCCAAGTGAGCCTGTGTCTCTTCGCTATCCCATCCAAAAAATGCGTATCTCTTCATCCGCAGTCATCTGTTGTTACGTCCCAAGCGGCATTCAGCTGGCCAAACATCGAGATCCCTCGCTCCACGTCGATGACGCTCAGCTTCTGCGGCGTGGTCACGATCACTGCGGCCGTGATCCTGACGTCATTGGTGCCCAGACAAGTGGGTGACCAGTGGGCCACCGAGGGATCACCGTGGCACAGATTTTGGAGAGGGAACATGAGAATGGCTTTCTTGAAGAGGACCTGCTGGGTCTCGGGGCCTTTGACAAAACCAGTGCCCAACGGATTCCTATATGGTTTAGGTCATGGTTTGCTCGATGGCGAATTTCAGAAATGAATGTGCCAGGACTTCATTCAGTGCAAGGACCAGTTGTGACCCAACTTAACGGCTGGGACCGGAATGGTCATTGCTGCCCAAAACGTGTCATAGTGTATATCTACAGGGTTGGCCAGGAAGGCCAACTTCTTGTGAGTTCGCAGTGTTTCTCCTGACGACTGTCGTATGATTCGGTTGGTTCCCAGAAGCCGCAGTCCAGTTCGTCTAGCTCTTGCCGTACCAGTACCTTTTGCTCATTCTGTTGTTCTTGTCCATGTTTTTGGATCCAAGTGGCTGACAAATTTGTGACAATGTCAAATGAATATCACCAGTTCCAGGAGGCATGTCCAAGACCAAGTAGTCCAGGTCTCCCCAATCCTGAGTCTTCATCATCTTGGCATTAAAGCCGCGCGCTGGCACGCCAAGTGGTTGCTTCCTTCTTGCTGGAAACATCTATATAAAGTGCTTTTTAATTGACATCTACGTCTACGCGCACACAAACACACATGATGTCACACATGTATACCGTGTATATATATATATAATATGGTAAAATATGGTATAATATCTATACCGTCCGCAATGGGAAAATTGGGCAATTGGAGAACATGGAGGTCACTCAGGTCACAGAGACAAAGGCATGAGACAAAGGGACATGTCCGCAGGTCACATGGTTGACGCCTGATGAGGGCCGTTTGGGCCTTGGTTGATGCAGGTCCATTGCGGGAAGAAACCGGTCCTGTGTTCACACTTGTTCCACTACAAGTATTAAAGAGGGGGGTGGCCGGGGGTGGATGTTGGGATGATCCTCTTTCAACCCCGTCGGCAGAACTCTTTCTTGGGCATCCACAACTCTAATCATGCTAACAGTCATATCTGGGATGCCTGGGCCTACATGCACCCAACCTACCCTTCCAGCTTCCAGGCATCAAACGCACCATGCTACCATCTCCACCCGACCGGACACCCCAGGCGGCCCCACAGTGACTCAAGTCGACTGCCGCCGGAGCATCTGTTTGGTTCACCAACTGTGACATGACTCCAGTCACCATGGAGCCCCTCATCACTGCGGCATGCCCCACGTAGCCGAATGAGACCAGTTTGATGCCCGTGGCGGGATCGATGACGGGCTTGATGTGCCTACAGCTATCCAACCGTATTGTTGGAACCTGTTGGGAAGCACGTGACAGTTTAAAAAGTCAAATAGAGTCAGGTACTCGTTACCAAAACTGAATCACCATCAAAATCTCCCTCCAGGTTCCCATGAAATACCCTGCATTCAGTTCAGACCTTTGAGTAACCAGTCAAAGCACTTGACGAAAAGAAACAGGTCCCCGATGTAGCGTGTAATGCTACGTTAAAATATGTTCAGGGCAGGTACCACGTAACCGACACAATCCAGCACACTCCGCTGGGATTTTGTGGATGCTACTATACTTGCCGCTTGCTACTACAGTATATCTTTTGCCCAGCTGGTGTCCCATGGCATTGGATGAAACCGCTCCAAAAAAGATCGCAATCATCATAAGAGTATCTACATTGGCCAGTAATTATCGTTTTCCAAGTAGCAGAGTGCTTCCCAACCGTGAGTCACAAGAAAAATAGACATCTAGCTAAAATAGCGAATCCAACCGACAAACTTGAATAGCCATCCAGGTACCGTTCCTTCTTCTCGTCTTCATACATCTCCATTCCTGGTGATTGGGAGATGCTTTTCTGGGGACGTGCGATCAACCGGCCATGTGGAAAGAAACGCGTTGATATAATGTCAGAATGAGCACAGCAGCAAAACGTGTCCATGTGGATTCCACGCATTTTCTTGGCCCATGTCTTCCACAATCTGCATTGGTGTGGAAAAAAACAACGCATCCATTCAGTGAAGAGCCACGACGGTTGACCAGCAACAACAGCTACAGCTCCGTCAAGACTCTCTATATACAGCACACATAATGCCACAATCTGATATCACCTGAGAAAGTGGTATCCTTCAAGATTTACTGACTAGTCCCTCAGCACCCTTTATCCATCAATGAATGGTTTTGGCATGTTTTGGCACTTCACCTTTGGCTTCACATCCTGGCCCACCGCCAAGCATCGGGGAGTCTCTTCCTGAAAACGAACCATGACCTGAGCCGTCGCACGAGGTCGACACTATATCCAAACAGCCTTGGACCAAAAAGACCCGTTCCGGTGATCGACGTGAAGGAGTTTGTGGACCTTCCATGGTGCAGCCTGATGTAGCAATAACTCATGATGACTCATGACTTCAAAGTGATGCGGATGAGACAACTGAAAATGCAACAAAATGTAATGCAGCGAGTTCATTCCCAAGACCTTACAAACATGGAATCCATATGTAAAGTTAGGATTAAGAACCTCCCCTGGCCAATCGGAGCCCACACAGCCTCGAACATTCACCCAAATTCAAAGTATTGCTGGTGATAAATTTCACATGAATAAGGTTATTGGGTGCTAGAACCCCAGTTCATCCGAGCCCCACAACCAAATCAAGTGTACTGCTACTACTACTACTACTACTACTACTACTATCAACAACAGCAACAACAACAACAACTACTACTACGACGACTACGACTACGACCACGACTACGAATACCACCACTACCACTACCACTATGAACTACTATCACTACGACGACGACGACGACGACGACCACCACGACTACTACTAACCCTACTACCACTAGTACTGCTACTACTACATACTACCTACCACTACCACTACCACGAAGACGACGACGACGACTACTACTACTACTCCTCCTCCTGCTGCTGCTGCTACTGCTACTCCTCCTGCTGCTGCTGCTGCTGCTACTGCTACTGCTACTGCTACTACTACTACTACTACTGCTGCTGCTGCTGCTGCTGCTGCTTCTGCTGCTGCTATGACTACGACTACGACTACGACTACGACTACGCCGACGACTACGCCTCCTCCTCCTCCTCCAACCGTCTTAGCAGATTATTCAGGGGGAGTGGATCTCATGAATTGTACCTCAAACCTTCTTGACCTCGTTGACCTTCCACGTGAGGGGTGTTATTATATACTGTAATCTGGCCTTCACGTTGACAAAGCCTGGACTCTGGACAGCAAACATTTGCACTAAATGAAGCCACTAGAGGCCCCTCACTAGGCTGTCAGGAGTCCAGGCGTGCTTCTGCATAGGCTCGAGAGACCCAAGCACTGCCTCTCCGACTCTCCGCCGATTAATCGCGATACTTTTCAAGATTGAACTGATGGACACATCCTGTTGCGCATCTCTGAATGTTAGAGGTTTGCTCTCCCCATGACCTGTCCGCAAAAGACCTCCTCCAAGCCACAGGCAAGGAAGGACCATAGACGTCACAGTCAAAGATGCCCACCTTGTGGCCTGCCACTTGCGAACAAAAGACCGCCTAACACGATTGCAGTTGCACGTTGCACCAGCTCCCTGCCCAAGAGCTCTCAGAACTGTTGTTAAATTGGAGAATGTGATATGAACGCCCTCGATGCATCGGAAGCGCATCACGAAGGCATCCAGGCGGAGTCTTTCCTGGGGCCAAACATGGCATATAACGGTATACATGACCTTCCCACATCGTCTTCCCCATCCACGCCCACTTTCATGCTCCTGCCTTTCTGGTGCAAAGCAAAGGCCAGGTTCACGGCCACCGTGCTCTTCCCAACGCCGCCCTTACCTCGATTTGGACATCGAAAGCATGGGACTCTGCTACTCACTTACTCTGTCAAATGCAAACCAAATATTGAGGTCAGTTCGGACACCTCTACGTACTGCTGTTCCACCACAGGAGAAGAGCAAACATAGGCAAGCAAGCAAACCGTCTTTAACATGGTGCTTTGATGCGTCTTGCCCCCAAACACACCTAAAGTGTAGAAACATCTCGGCTGTTACAATATATATATATATATTCTTCTTCTTCTCCATCGCCCTCTCAAGAGCTTAGCCGTTAGCTAAAGGCGAGCACACAACCCAATGCCAGGAGCAGTTTCTCAGCGGCCAAGCTCGGTGGCTATATATATATATATACATATATATATATAACTCCCTCCTAAATGATATTTTCCCTTGGGTTTGGGCTTGCCACCCAGGCTTCAAAGTCCAAGATTCTGACAAACCCTTTGACCGGCAAGCATTGGGTTGGTCTAAAGCATGTGGATCAAAACGGCCAAGCGGCAGGAAGACACCGCAATGATGTTCTTGACCTGAGGAAAAAAAAACAAGGGCAGCCAGTCAAGTCTGACTGGAATCTTAGCAAATATCTAAACTTGCACGAACCTCCACTCAAAAAGGGAAGGATGAAGAATAGCAATTCCAATCACGATTCCCTAACACCGATTCAGAATCCCACACATTACAGCATTTCACATTCTAAGGATGGAGATCCGACATAGCCCAGGTTGTCCGCCACACCCGGAGAAAAAAAAAGTTCCAATGGTGTCTTCAATTTCCCCCGTGCACATTAATGAACTCAATTCCTTCCCAAGCCAAGGCGAAGCAGCAACAGCCATGAATGAAAAAGTGGCTGGAACAATGTTCAAGAAAAACAGATTGTCTCAGGATATGAGCTCTTCTGAAAACTTCGATAGGTTCAAGGTGGTCGAAGGGAGGTGCTTGAACGGCTAACGTGTTCTGTTGCCCATCCTGCCTTTTCCAAGCTCTTGGGCATCTGTGGCATGGGCCGAGGGCTTCCGGCAGATCCGGCTGCTCCGGCGGCCGCAGCACTCTTCACGGATCCCACGCGGACGTCCAAGGTCTTCGCCCAGGGTATCTTCGACAAACGTTCCTCCACTTGAGACTTGTAGGCTTCCACTTCCTGAGTGAAACGAAGCTCAGCCGATGTTGCTCGGGATTTTTCGGGGTGCGACTCAAAAGGTGTCCGCTTCTGGTGAACAAGGAGGACATGATTCAATCAGGTTATCTCTTGTGAGGGGCTCCCTGTGGCCCTATGACTCGCTTTATCAGATATCAGGCACAGCCACACTTTCAACATATGGCTCATATCCCAAAACTGCGGCGACATGATTAATTTATTGCTTTTGAGGAGGCATTCCCCTTTTGCAGCTTTTGGGAGTTGCTCAAATGGTGCCAGTACATGGGTCGAAGTGACCAAGTGGGACATGTTTTTTCCTCCCCGCAGTTGCTTTCGGACACCCGATTGTTCCTCCATGTTCCTCCCATTTTCTCCCGGCTGCCTGCTCCACCGACCGAACGCCCGTTTGCCCGTTCCATCGGAGGGACCAAGACCAGGGAGATGTTCCCCGTGACTCGGTCTGCCTTGATCGCACCCACGAAGCCACTGGTGACGATGTCGCCCAAGCCGGGGTCCTTGGAAGGGGGATCAAAAAGGAAACAGGTCTATGACCCTATGACCCAAATGGGAGATCGTGGCTGGCTGTCAATGATCATCACAATGAAACCCAGATTCAATCGCCCATTTCATAATGTTCACCCACTGGCACCCCCTCACTACTTCTACCCAATGTAGAGAAATTGAAATGTGTCGGAAATGTCACCTATTCTATATTCCTCGGCGCTATTGTCTATAAAACAAAAAATTCAGCATTGAGTCACAATCCCCAACGCTCGAAGATGCCTGTCCACATCCACCACCGGGCCCTCCCCCCTTTGTCCCTGGGTCGGTCCTTGACCTCCTCCAGCGCTGCCATCACTTCCTGGGAAATCGTTGAGATGCTTTGACCGAACAGGTTCCAGCCCCGTCAAAAGTGCAGGACGATGAGTCGATGAGGATGACACAGAATGACAGTGACTCAAATGATGGTAGTTTAATGGTGGCTGCTGGGGCGATGGCGATTACACAGTAACTTGCCTATGGTTTGTGTTTGTGCACCAGTGCACTGGTTCTCAGCTCATGCTTCTTTCATTGGATTCGTAGGGTGCGGGTGCTTCATTTGTGTTGAAGGATCTTACCATGTTCAGGCATCAACAGTCAGCACTCATGTCAGTAGTCCTTGACTGGTGTGAGCACTTCCTGAGACTTCGCAGCTCTGCATAAAGGTCCCCGCCCTTTGGAGCATCGCCTGGCCGCCGCCGCTGCCACCAGCACGGCTGGCACCACCGCGCTTGGACGTGGAGCTGACAGTGTGTGCACCGTGCGCTGCGCGACTGGCACTGACGGACCGTTGCCGTGCCCCATGGTCGCCATGGCCCTGGTGGCCCCAGGAACACTCGCCATGGCTCCAGCCATGCTATCTGAGGGCTCTGCACCTGGTGCGGATCCAGAATGGGGTTGTGAATTGGACGGTGTACCACACTTGGTCGCGTGGTTTGCGAGAAATGCGCCCAAGGTGCTGGGGAATGTTGCTGGGAAGCATTGCAAGATTATTCATCTGGTCTGTGATGGTAGGTAGTGTACATATGTATATATATATAGTCAATGAATGTGTATATATATAACTATTTGTATGTATGTAAAGACATTATATATATATACATCTATTTATTTATAGCTATTTACATGTAAATATATATATATATTATACCTAGCTGCAGCTGCTTTAAAATCGCTGTTGCTTGTTCGGGGCTCTCGCCATGGTCAAACAGCTGCAGCCAAACATTGTGGGATGCAGTCACCAGCGCACGGCGACCACATAATTACGTTCCTTGAAACAAGGCCACACACGTCTGCCGTGTGTTGTTTCCTGGTCTGTGGCCCACACACCACAATAGCGGGCAGCTCCCGGCCTAGGATGCCTGCTATGTCCACCCTGTCGTTGTCATCTATATAAATCGCACTTCACCGCCTCAGATCTCATTTGCACCGTGGGATGCCACAGGCAAAGGCGCTGATCCTAATCACACAAGTAACCCGAGGACTTGCCCACAGGCATCCAGAGTGCCCAACAGCGCAGAGACGTGGCCATAGTAAGACTAGGAAACAAAACGGTGTTCACTGATGGTAGGATGGGTCGCCGCATCGATGAGGCTTGGGTTGATATTTAAAAAATATGCAAATTTTGACTTGCGTTCAACTCATACAGTTTCGTATCGCTGGTCTGCAATATTCGCTGGCTAGGATGTCCATGCCTTTGTCCATCACTTCAGAGCGGATGAGGAAGAGGACCAAAACACCACCCAAAACATACAAAACTGGCGACTGGGAATATAGCTCCTGACGTGGGTGAGTGCAAATAGCTGACATCACCACTTTTCCTGACCTACAGCTTGCTGTACAGCGAGTCAAGCGCATCAAGCGGCCACCACAGTTGGCTGAATTTGGTGCCAAAACGACAAGCTGCAGGCCCTAGGCTACCCATCGAGCCAACCCTTTGTTTCCTTGGAACGCTTAGAAGTGCATACCAGGAGCCCCTAGTAGCGATCTTGCTCCGTTCGTCATATTGTCACGCTTTGGAACTTGGCGTCGGCAGAACCATAGCCATAGCTGCTATAGCTCCATCTCTCCATCACTGATCACCCCCGAGAGACGGATCACTGATCAACCTGACTTTTGGAAGGGTCCCAAAACCATCAACAACCAATGTGGTTGTAAAGAGATTCAGGTGGTCTTAACACCCTTGGCTCAAGCAGCTTCTCGCTCACCCGTTCAGCTCGCTTCTCGCGTCCCTCTGCGCAGGCCAGGATCAAGCCCAGAGTTGCTCTCTTTGCTTCATCTAATTGGGCGACGGGTGTCCTTTGTCCTTCATTCTTTCGACTGATCAAGCCGGCAAGCTCACAGTGGGCCTCCTGGCAAGCGAAGGTCCTTCGTAGACCGTATGACCTTTGTTTCTTTTTCAGATTCCTCATCTCGGGTCAGGGATCGTCAGAGGCGTCATCTCCCCACACACCTGCCAAGCAAAAAAAAACAAACAATATGATACTTGAAGTACATAACACACCTGCATATAATCTATTAGAATCTATTCCATATAGAATCAAAAGCAGTGGGCTGTCGCTGATGACATGCATGTGAAATCTGTAAGTTTGGATTTGGATGTGTGCTGAACTGGGTGGACGCATGACTTCGGAAATTCACTGAACACATGTGTCAAAACGCAAGCATGCTTGATATTACGCAACATTATGGTAATGTGTATACATATATATATATATAGTTATATAGTCATAATAGTTATATATATATATATTTGGTCTTTCGCGGACCGCAACGATCCGAGATCGAATCTGATCGACCAAGGTGTGCACCGTCCTCGGCTTTGAAATCAGGGGTGCCGTTCACCCAAATGGGGCCATCGCCTGCCGAACCTCTGAAAAATGGTTTTTTCGCCTGCTGGTGGTGGGAAGGGCGAGGCCCAGCCCAAGAGCTTCCACAGGAGTTCTTGGGCTTCGCCCTCCTGACAGTCAGGACGTCGTGACATGGTCACTCAGGTCTCTGCTTGACTTCTCTGAAGGTTCGGTATGGGCTGCTTTGGTGATTTCTGTGCCAGTTCAAGGAGCAATTAGTGCAGTAACCTTCCCAAGAAGTGAAAGTGGACGTCCAATGATTCACGCAAAACCAAACAAAACCAACTGGGAGGCGGCGCCAAATGTTTTCACTCGGAAGGCTTTCACTTTGGAGACACAGCTTGGCCCATCCAGTCGCCTCTCGCTCAAGGTGCTCCAAAACAACCTGTGCAGAGCCGGATGGTAAGCAGGGCGCCCGGTAGCCAGAGGCTTTCACCGCCGCTTGGTACCTTGGCGGCGAAGCATCGTGAGTTTGGGTCCTTCTGAGTCGATCATTAAACATCGCTTTGGTGAGTGTGGTGGAAGAGGGGTTACACGGTAAAACTCATTGTCACTGTTCATCGCTACTATACTATGTCTCTCTCTCTCTCTATGTATATATATATATATACTGATAAACCAACAAATAGATATAGATACAGTTGATAGATAGAAAGAAACTCTCTCTCTCTCTCTCAGCCAGCTTTCCCATGATGTATATTATAAGTTCTGCAAATGTACTCGGAAGTGGCGTCTTCAACTGTTCCACCGGAAAGTGCCCCAAGCTTTGTGGAGTTCAAGCCCTCCCCGGCGTCTCACACTGATCACCCTCGAAGCGACCGCCCTTGGGTCGGGCGGCCCCACCAACCTCCACCGGTACCGGCCATCACCGAGGGCCCCACTGGAAGAGCGGCACCCGTGGAGCTCTGTGAACTAGTTGGTTCCACAGCTCCTCGCCGGCGCCCTCGGCATGGTTCCACAAGCGCACTTCCCTGGACCAGCTGGGGCCATAACAGCCTGGGGCGCGATGCTAGCGATGTGACGACAGCCCAGTGACTGGCTTTAGAATAGGCGGCCACTTCGGGCATGGACTGGAATGAGAATGACTTCACCAGGAAGCAGGATTCTTCTTGAATCCCAAGTGGATGAAAAAGACTGTTCTGTGGGAGTCCGGTCTTGCAATAGGCACTCAATTATATCACCTCACATAGTTGGATTTCCTTCCTCCAAAGCTGCTGTCGATGCCTCCAACTCACTGTGACCCTTCTTGATTCGAACATATGCATGACGTCGCATGATGCATCACAGCATGCATCTCTGTTTTCGTTTGTCTCAACATCCATTCATTTCGCAACAGAATGGCCAAGACTGCAAGCCAAGTCTCGATCCAGGAAGGCCTGCAGTTCGGGTGACCGACCCTCGATGTTCGGGTGACCAACCTTCGTTTCAGCATGGCAACTCCCTGAAGAACTGGAGCTGACATGAGCTTCATCCGGCGTTAGCAGCAATGTGCATTCAATTGCGCATGGCTCTTTTGAATCCCTCTTTCACTGGGCTCTGCCAGTTGCACTGTGAGGCATCACTGTGATGCATAATTAGATGCAATTTAGCAACCAATATGTTCTTATTATTATGTTATTGATTATTTTCATGATTCCGCAAGTTGTGCATACGCACGAGAGACTCTCTCTTTTTCGAATGGGGATGCTTCCGGGACAGCTAAGCTGTCAGATGACATTTTATTGTCGCATCACCTATGACCACTTCTTCCTGTACATAAGAACCACTTCGGACTTAATTACTATAGGAACTGGGACTACCCGCCTATCTTCCCCCACTCACTGTAGTCGCACTTCACATTGATCACGTCACACTCCAGCGTCTCCGACAGCTCTTGCCACTTAAGTCTGGAAGGGGCATCAGCGACATTACTCGGAGAAGGGACTCTGGTGTACCACGAAAGACTGTCGTTTCGAGAGTCCTGAATCATGGCCTCAATCAACATGGTCCTACTTGCTTTCGACTTTGTGCAACCGGTCACGAACGCCTCCTTCACTCCTTCATTATCTATGAAGTACAAGACTCTAGCCCCCTCCAACAGATGGCCCAGGTGACGCTTGCACATCACCACTGGCGTCATCTCCGCCTGTGCAATCACCTGTTCGTTCCCGAGCGAATGCCACTCGTCCAAAATCTTCTCGGGGACTTCGAAACCGAAAGCGATGGGCACTGGTATCCGGGGGGATATGATGACCGCTCCACAAGAGGCTACCCCGGCTTCATAGGCTCCATCTGTAAAGACTAGACACGGGATCTCCTTTGCCAGGGCCACCAGCCGCCTAGGAGGAGCCGTCCTGAGCAGTTGTGCAGCCAGAGACTCTGAGATTTCTTTGGTCACTACCTTGACCGTTGCACCCATCAGTGACCTCTGCTTCACGGGCTCTAGTATCGGGGCCAGCCATCTACCACTGCACTGGGCTTCTGCAAAGTTCAGCCTGCCATACACTTTGGCTGCCATCGACGGGGGAAAGGACTTGAGCTTCTTCAGTTCTTCCACCACATTGTCAAGCTCCTCCGCCCTCTCCTGTTTGTTTCTCACCATCACCACTCCTTCATTCACTTGCCCTAGGTCGATCACCACCCCCAGCACCACAAACCTTGTCGAGGGAGGCAGTCTCTTTTTGGCTTCCTCCGCGATTCCCCACCCCAAAGTCCTCATCGCCTCCTCCATGACCACCTGGGATCGGACGGCGAGACTTTCGATGTCTACATGTGGGAAGTCATCGAAGTAGTTGACCACTGGCATCAACAGGAACCGTTGCAATACCTCCCTGATGGCTCTTGCAGCCCTGTTGAATGCCATAACAGCCCCAGTCGCGCCAAAGGGTAACACATTCGAAACAAAGTACTTCACCTTGTTGTCGTGGGGATCTAGAACCGCTATCACTGCATTGCTCCTATCCGACGGACTCAGTGCTAGCTGTTTGTACGCTGACTTCAGATCCAGGCATCTCCCCTGTAGCCACAGCGAGACTACCTCGTCGACCCCACCTAGGTCCAGTTTCTCACCTGGGCCATAGCGCTGGTTGATGGAGAACTCACTCAGGTCGTCTATGTTCCTAACTTTGCTACCCTGCACAATGCCGAATCTCCTGCTGGGGGTCCACAACGGTCCAACTCTTTCGTTCACCTGGCTCACCTCGAGGGGGCCTTCGAGCCACCCGAACTTCACCTCCTTGAGCGTCGCCTCCCAAACTTCCTCAGCAACGTCGACCGCTTCCCCTGCCACGTCCACCCGTCTCCGGGCCACGTGAGTGGGAACTTTGTTTCGGACTTCCTGCTGTGCCGACTTTGCTCCCTTCCAAAGGTCCTCCTTGTCCAACATTGGGGGTTTGAACTCAGGCGCAAAACAACCGGTCACTCTACCTTCTCCCGTGATGGACATGCCTTTGCACATATCTTCCACCAAATGCCTGTCACCATACCCCACGATCTTGAGGAGTTCTTCAAATAGAAGGAGCCTCTTGGGATTCAACACTTCTGCCACCTTCACCTCCAGCGAAGCATGTAGGGTTGCTTCCTTCTCTTCCAGCTGTTTGGCCCTCGCCTTCATCCACCTCAGCCTTTCTACTCTCTCTTGATGAACTGCTTCCGACCCCTTTGTCATAACCTGGAACATGGCATCTAACATGTGATCTTGTACTTGAAAAGCTGTATCGAATGGGTGTTTCAGGTCACGGGCACGCCTCACTGCTTCCTCCGGTGTCATAGGAATGCCCAGAGTCACGACTTTGGCTTGCTCTCTCCCCCTGGTTGGGACGGAACTTGATGTAAAAGTCGGGTCCCGTAGGGAAAAATACGGCCGGCAAGGTGATATTGACGATCAGAAC